ACCCCACCTCCTGAAATGCCTATGCACAGCACCTTTTTAAGTGCAGAAGGCAGGCTCTATAAAATCTGTGACACAGCAGTACCTATCAACAGGTCGTAACGAATACGTGTCACTGGACTTAAGTAAATGTGTGATCTTCACAAATACATTTACAAACTTCAAGATCAGATTAACCGGTTCCCAACTGTGCACTGTGTGCACTGTAGGCTGCTGCACAGAATATATAGACATATATATATATATATATATATATATATACATATACACATACATGTATAAGTAGGTAATAGAGCGCTGGGAGTACATAAGTGAAGCAGCTAGCATAAAAGGTAACCTTGGGACCCAGATAGAAACATGAAATGGACGTAACCTGCAGCTCAAAGAAACCTGATTCTTGCTTTGAGTGCTATGTCCTCCAGGTGTTTCTTTGAGCTGCAGGTTACGTCCATTTGGGAATGATGCATGATCACCCCCTCCCCCGCTGATGATCTCTCTGGTGGATGACTTACCCATATACCTGGATTGATGGCATCTGGTGGCCAAACCTGCAGATGACATCCTCCTAATACTACAAGTCCAGAGCACCAGGAGCGGGTCTTAATTGCTCCATGCGCATTGGTTGCGCTATCTGGTTAGTGCATTATTTGTACAAATCACGAGATCACAAGAGTCACGAATTTCTCTGAACATGAATTATTGGGACAATTGCACCTATCACTTTATCGCACCATGCAATATGGACTGAATTTGTCATGCAGTTATGCTGTTCATGTTCTGTTTTTTATGCTTGTTCATATTTAATTTCAAAAGCGCTGCATATTTATTTTTCATATACACATACATACACACACACACACACACACATGTAATTTCGCATTCCTGGGTAAGGGGCCGACCCAGCTGTGTTGTCACTGGCTGCAGGACATGGCTATCCCCTACTGAAGAAGCCCAGAGGGCGCAACACATGTAGGGGTGGAGAAATGCTGCAAGAATCCGTAAGAAGTTTATGTTCCTGGTTCTGAGATGTTATGTGTATATTGTCCCTATAGATGTGGCATCTAGCAGTTTATGTCATAGCAGTTTAGGTGTTCTTTTATGTGAGTGCAATACTTGAAATTGTAATAAAAGTTGTTTTTAAGTACACTATTGGTCCCATCTTCATTTATGAAGGAGTTACACATGCTCTTATGACCTTAATATGTATACTGAGGTCCATTAGAGGAGGTGAGCAGCCTGAATGAGGATTGTTTATTCGCACACATTCACTAATATAATGTGAGTGCACCACTGAAATGTTTTTGTATACTCTATTTAGTTGTGCATGGACAGCACTATTTTATTTTTTTTGTTTACATGTTCTCATACCCATGAGAGTGGCGCTACAGTAAAAGAAGTGATAGAAAATGGAAGCTCATTGGCTGGAACATTTCCCTGGATATGATGAAACATGCGTTTTAGATCTTGATTTACATTGGCGTCCACTGTTGTAAGAAAAATAATGCTGTATTGCACCTTCGATGCACCGATTATCTCTTATTCCCCGTAAACCACTCTTGCTGCTTTCCTTTGCACTGAGTGGAACATCATCTACCTGCTCCAGTATAGTAAACTGCAGAACTCCTCATCTGTCTGCCATGATATTGAGTGTTTAGAAACATGTTTTCCCCCAATTTGCGGTTGTTATTCAAAAGAACACCTACAGTGGATATAAAAAGGCTACACACCCGTTAAAATGTCAGGTTTCTGTGATGTAAAAAAAATGAGACAAAGATAAATAATTTCAGAACTTTTTCCACCTTTAATGTAACCTATAAACTGCACAACTCAGTTGAACAACAAACTGAAGTCTTTTAGGTGGAGGGAAGTAAAAAATAAAAATCTAAAATAAATAATATGGCTGCATAAGTGTGCACACCCTTAAACTAATACTTTGTTGAAGCCCCTTTTGATTTTATTCCAGCACTCAGTCTTTTTGGGTATGAGTCTATCAGCATGGCACAGCTTGACTTGGCAATATTTGCCCACTCTTCCTTGCAAAACACTCCAGATCTGTCCGATTGAGAAGGCATCTCCTGTGCACAGCCCTCTTCAGATAACCCCACAGATTTTCAATCGGATTCAGGTCTGGGCTCTGGCGAAGCCATTCCTTTGTTGATTTGGATGTATGCTTTAGGCCGTTGTCATGCTGAAGGATGAAGTTCCTCTTCATTTTCACCTTTCTAGCAGAAGCCTTAAGGTTTTGTGCCAATATTGACTGGTATTTTGCACTGTTCATAATACCCTTCTCCTGACTGATACCTTTTGACAATGAGTGCCCTCTGATGCTTTGTAAGCTCTCTGCAGACCATGGCTTTTGCTGTAGGATGAGACTAAGAAAATGTCAGGAAAGACCTACTAGAAAAGCTGAACTTTATTTTGGGGTTAATCAGAGGCACTTTAAATGATGGCAGGTGTGTACTGACTCCTATTTAACATGATTTTGAATGTGATTGCTTAATTCTAAACACAGCTACATCCCCAGTTATAAGAGGGTGTGCACACTTATGCAACCACATTATTTTAGTCTTATTTACTTGTTTATTTATTTCAGGTACTTATATAGCGCCGTCAATTTTACGCAGCGCTTTACACACACATATATATATATACATATATATATTGTAAATTCACATCAATCCCTAACCCTCAAGGGATGTACAATCTAAGGTCCCTAACTTGCATTCATACATACATACACTAGGGACAAGTTTAGACGGGAGCCAATTAACCTACCAGCATGTCTTTGGAATGTGGAAGGAAACCGGAGTACCCGGAGGAAACCCACGCAGGCACAGGGAGAACATGCAAACTCCAGGCAGGAGGTGCCGTGGTCGGGATAAGAACCAACAACCCTAGTACTGCCAGGCAGAACTGCTAACCATTTAGCCACTGTGCTGCCCATAGCTTTTCATTTTTACTTTCCTCCACCTAAACTATTTCAGTTTGTTGTTCAACTGAGTTGTACAGTTTATAGGTCACAATAAAGGTGAAAAAAGTTCTGAAACAATCTATCTTTGTTTCATCACAGAAACCTGACATTTTAACTGGGGTGTGTACACTTTTTATATCCACTGTAAACAACAAATAAAAAAAAAATATATATTTACATGTGTGGTGTGCAGCTTTCAATAAACACTTTAAAAGAAATACATTTTCAGAAATCCTACTACGGGTGCATAATATATTGAAAACTTATAAATCCAGAACAATAGTTTTGCCTATAAGCTAAGGTACTATACAAACATTGTGCAACACCCTCTTACTATCAGACTAGCTGGATCCTCTCCTCATTGGAGGTAACAGAAGAACGTATTATGTCAGGGTTATGAAACGGGGGGTATAACATTTGATACATTCCACATGCCAACCTGAAAATGTTCCCCATCAGTTAAGTAGTATACCTGAATTTTCACTTCAAAAATATTTTGTATCAGTTTGGCTAGGATAATTTCAGGATTGCTGAAGATATTTCCAACTTCTTTGTTTACCCGCTGGCATAAAATTGCAGAATCCTCAAATATATCATTCCTCATGTACGCTCCCTAAAAAACACACAGACCGTCCATAAGATAACTATGACCACATTTGACTCTTCCAGAAAAATCTCCAGGTTTTCTCCTTACCTCTTGACATTGGTTAATGTACACATCTACACAGTGAGAATAGCCCTAGAGGAAAGACAATAATATAAACATAAGAAAAAACATCATCATAACCAAGTTTAGACTTCTTAAGGGTTTGGAGGGCAGGGAAATGTTCTCTTGGTAAGAAAAACAAGATTTTTGTATTCACCGTAAAACCCATACTGGAAGGTGATCAAGGGGCAAAGGTATAGTAGAAGTCAGGAACATCGAGTACACAGCTGCCTTTAGCATAAGGATTTTTACACTGATAGGAAAAAAAAAAGCCTCTGGTTGGCCAAGTAGAACCCCTCCAGTGAAGATGGCACCCTCAGAGATTTTCCAGCTAGTGGGACAACAATCTAAGCATTAACAGACAGCATGATCGTCACTGGGGTCAAATAACCCTGCAGTTAACCCTTTGCACATACATGAACAGTAGCTGACACTACATGATTTAATGGAAACATGTACATTTCACAGTATCCATAATAGAATTTTGACCATTAATTTTGACCAGAATTTAAAAATGTCTGTATCACCAACTGCCTTGTCAGACAGGGATGAAATGGAATCAGTTTTTGTTTTTTTTTTACAATTTTCAAATATTATTTTAGGCCTGGTTCCTGCCTAAATCGCAAAGGAACGCAGTCCATGTTCCTATGTGACTCAGTGTGATGCAAATTTCAGCCCATTCACTTGAACGGGCTGAAATTGCACTGGATCACTTTAAAGCAGTGTATGCACTACTTTTCAATGCACTGCAGCAGATCGCATGGTATTGCGGCACCATGCAACCTGGCAAATGCACTTCATTTGTGATTTGCATTTGGGGGTGTCGTTAGGATAATAATGGCACCTGCAGAAGATTGCACACCCAGTGCTTTTTGAATGCGTTGTGGGAAACATGCACAGAATACATAATTCCTGCACCGTATTCTGGTGTGATTTTCTTAAAAGAAAAAAGGATAATCAGTATGAGAAAATAATTTGCATAAACAGAAAATAGTAACACTACAATAAACAAGACAAAAAAAAACAAAAAAAGAAAAGTACTTAAAGTTTAACAGGTCTTTGATTTCTGCAGAAGTTTTTGTTGACCCTGAAAATACTCACCCAAAGATAGCTGAGGGGTGGGAGGTAGGAGTGCCAAGGTGTTAATGATATATCAGCGGCACTTCTTTAATGTTGCCTTCCTAATTATATCCATGTTTTACAGTCTGACAGCCAACATCTTATTGGACAGAACAAAATCATGACTTGATAGAGAACAAACATTATATAACCCAGATGCACATATCGCCTAAAAAATGAGATGTAACCAACTGTCTTCTGTATATACACAGTAGTCATAGTTGGTCATGAATTGATTGGTTTTCTCCTATACATTTGAGTAAATGCTTGTTTTTTTTTTTTTTTTTTTTAACATCGCTCAGTCATATCCTTAATTATGGAAATAGTATTAAAATGAACTCTAGACAGCTCTGTAGGGTAGTATATGTTAGTTACCACAGTCAGACAATAATATATTGTAGAAAGCAAGCAGGCATTTTACATTAGCAGGGCTGGAAATAAAAAGCCATCCTGCTAATTGATTATACAGCATCCAATGTGCCATTTATGACAGGGCTTACTGACAGTCTGCGTAGATTGTTGCTAAGCAGTATTTAGGATCCTGCTAGAAGTTTTATGACCTTCTGCTAATTGTTTGATGAAATTTATTACAGCCTGCTTGTCTCCAGCTGAGCTGTGTTCTTATATGAGATGTGTGTCATACAGAAGAGTTTAAATCTAATCCTTTAATGCCGACTTGCGCATCTCGAAGAAAAGAGGGTGCCCAGTGGTCAATGTGACCCTGATTCTCTTTAATCAGTTTGGGGTTCATTTGACCTTAGTATTTTCACATCTCCAACTCCCATGACACTTCCATTTAATTTTTTTTTATAAAAGTAGCATTAGGAGTATATGAAACACACAGGGGAACCTGTGAACCCTGAAAACTCCTAGAAAATGATTTTAGGGTGAGTACAAAATTTTTTTTTTCCTAATCATTCATCAAGGGACACCGAAGCAGTAGAATTCAAAACACTGACATGTTCCAAAGCAGTCCAACTGAAGGGTGGGCAAAATAGAAACATAAACCCCTTACAGCCCAAGAAGAAAAAAATGAACCGAAACACTAGGGATACCTACAAAGCATACCTTCAAGGTATGGAAGCCATACCGAAGGGAAAGGCAACAATGAGGTTGTGTTAAGTGCCCACAGCAACACAAAGGAAGCATTATTGTTCTGGAAAGCAGCATTTTAACCCAATGTTCTTAAATTCTACTGTTTCTGTGCTCCATTTATGAATGTTTTTTAAACTTAAAAAAAAAAAAAAAAGCTCATTTTATACATTATCTTCACCTGCTACATTCAAATATCTGCCACAAGGGACAGTATTTAAAAACTGGAGCACAGATGATTGGCTGCTATGTACACTGCTCAAAAAAATTAAAGGAACTTTCTAAGAGTATAGCATCAAGTCAATTAAACTCCTGGGATATTGATCTGGTCAGTTAAGTAGCAGAGGGGGTTGTTGATCAGTTTCAGCTGCTTTGGTGTTAATGAAATTAACAGCAGGTGCACTAGATGGGCAATGAGACAACCCCCAAAACAGGAATGGTTTTATAGGTGGAGGCCACTGACATTTTTTCCCCTACTCGCCTTTCCTGGCTGTTTTTCACTAGTTTTGCATTTGGCTGGGGGTCAGTGTCACTACTGGTAGCATGAGGCGATACCCGGACCCTACACAGATTGCATAGTCAGTCCAACTCCAGGATGGCACATCATTACATGCTATTGCCAAAAGGTTTGCTGTGTCTCCCAGCACAGTCTCAAGAGCATGGAGGATATTCCAGGAGACAGGCAGTTATTCTAGGAGAGCTGGACAGGGCCGTAGATTGTCCTTAAGCCATCACCAGGACTGGTATCTGCTCCTTTGTGCAGATACAGATTTCATGAGTGTGGCCTGAGGACCCGATATCCTCTAGTGGGCCCTGTTCTCACTGCCTGGCACCATAGAGCTCGATTGGCATTTGCCATTAAACACCAGAATTGGCAGGTTCACCACTGGTGCCCTGTGCTTTTCACAGAGGAGAGCAGGTTCACCCTGAGCACATGTAACAGACGTGAAAGGGTCTGGAGAAGCCGTGGAGAATATTATGCTACCTGTAACATTGTTCAGCATGACCGTTTCAGTGGTGGGTAAGTGATGGCCTGGGGAGGCATATCCATGGAGGGACACATTTCTACAGGCTAGACAATGGCACCTTGACTGCCATTAGGTATTAGGATGAAATCCTTGGACCCATTTTCAGACCCCATGCTGGTGCAGTGGGTCCTGGGTTCCTCCTGGTGCACAATGCCTGGCATCATGTGGCAAGAATATGCAGGTAGTTCCTGGAGGATGAAAGAATTGATACCATTGAATGGTCCTCACATTCGCCTGACCAAAATCCAATAGAACACCTCTGGGATATCATGTTTCGGGTCCATCCGACGCCACCAGGTTGCACCTCAGCCTGTCCAGGAGCTCACTGATGCCTTGGCCCAAATCTGGGAGGAAATACCCCAGGACACTATCCTTAGTCTCATTAGGATTTGGATGTGACGTCAGGACGCTCCCAGGTCGTTTGGTACGGTGCATGCTCGGCCAGGCGGGGATCGCGTTGTGTTTTATACTGATCACGCTATATATGCTGGTGTCGGCATAGACACCACTTGTTGTAAGTGCAATGTTTTATTAAATTGGAAGTTTTTTAGTACATACTGCACCATGAGTTTTTACTTTTTTTATATCCCGAGTGGTGGTCTGATTATCCTGAGAATTTGGTTGCTGGATTTTTTTTAAGTGGATCCATATGATATATAGTCCTGCAGGGTATTGCTCCCTGGAGATTCGATATAAAGCTCCCAGTGTTGCCTCAACCATTTGCAGATTATTGCTCCCAGAGCAACAAGCGCTGTATGCTGATTTATAATATGATATTGCTCCGGTGAGTTTATTCAACCTGTTTTGGTGGTGGATTCACGTGTGTGATATTTATTTTGAACACTTCTGCAATTATCAAGAATCACTTCACTTTTGACTTTTTATTATATTTTATTTATATGTGGTTTAATTGATTTATATATTCATCTGGATGTTTTTTTTTATTTTTTAGCGCAACCTGTTTTTTTCACTATTCATGCACCCTATATGTGTTATGGGTTAGGTTTTGCAGCTTATTTATTTAATTTATATATAAATTTTTCCGTGGCGCTATTTCAATTACCCTCATTAGGAGCATGCCCAGATGTTGTCAGGCATGCACACAAGGACATGGGGGCATACAAACTACTGAGCACCATTGTGAGTTGCTGCAATGAAATTTCAGCAAAATGGACTAGCCTGCTGCATCATTTTTTCACTTTGATTTCGGGGTGTCTTTGAATTCAGTCCTCTGTAGGTTGATAATTTTCATTTCCATCAAACAATGGGGCATCCTTACATTCCTAACACATTACCCAGTCCAAATCAGTACAAATATCCAGCATGATATTTTTCCCCCATTGAGATCTGCTGTGTTTTCAAAGTGTTCATTTACTTTTTTTGAGCAGTGTATAAAAGCTTCAGTCAGCTTCCATGTTTATTTCTAAGACAGGACCGAAAGTGAAAGCAAACACTTGCTTGGAGACAAACTAGTTTAAAGCGCCTTTATTTAGCAAAGTACCTTAAAGTGAAGCAACACTGCAGCCACCTCCCTCATACGAGAGATCTCTCCTCTCCTCTGAGCACCTGTAAACTCCTGGATTAACTGATGCTCCAGATCATGGTATTTACCTGGAAAATGACAGACCCATTATCAGCCCTCTATAAAAAACACAGGACATAACACACACACAGATTAATCAGAAATAGAGAACATACTTGCTATTTTTGACTTTACTTCTGCAAATCTGAAAGACAGGGGACACAATAACCATTAAAACGGGAAAGAAACATACAAACACATTGTAGGTTGTTACATGAGACAATACTACCCTTTTTGCATGCTTTTTTTTTTTTTTTTAACTCACAAAATCTTCTTGTGTGTATATGTTTGGATCACCAAAGTACACATCAATTAAAGGCAAAACAAAAATCTATCTATCTATCTTCAACAGCATAAACTCTACTTTTCTCACTCCCAGCAGATAAATGGGGTAAACGAAATACCCACTACCTCTGATATAAGTCAGAATGTGAATCCTCCCTTTTTCAAGTGATAGCATTAGGCACCATATGAATGGCTTAACACTGCCACATGGATCTACACAGGGCTTGTTTTCCCCAGTTCCAGCAACTGATGAGAACAATGCTGAAAAGAAGAGCTTTTGCTTAAGAAGTTGAAAAATCCTTGAAAACCCCAAGGAAATCAGCGTACATAGCACACAATCCTGTTCAGCACACACATTTCATTTCTAATTGTGTTCTAGCTCCACCCTAGCCTGAAGCCTAATTATTTTTTTTAGGTGTTCCTATGGGGGAGCTACAGCACAGCAATGAAGCACCACCACTCTCTTATTCTGAAGCTTTGCCATCTAATCTTCCAGGCCTGTGCCTCTTTCTACTACCCATATGCCTTGTACACCTGCAAAAAGACTAGGCCCAAATTACAAGGAGACATCATTTGTGTACAGGAAACATTTTTCAGCCCTCAAAACACCATGCTGCGCTGAGTATTCCCGCATATCTATACAGCCAACGCCCCGGGAAAAAGTGTGGAGTTATGATAGCAATAAAGCACCCGCCGCATTTTCACTTCACTCTCTACAAGTGGATTGGAAGGTCAGGTACTTAATCATGGTATGCACGTTAAATAATATTCCTTCCACAATTGCTCCTAATGCGAACCAAATTTCATTCCTAAATGCCTTGTGGAAGAAAGTAACTAAGATCCAGAAAGGGTGCTTATATGCTGCGGGGACTTCAATGCCATTATTAATAAGTCCCTGGATGTCTCGGGCTCTTCTCACTGCTTGAGGCATTCTTTATCTTCTACATTGAAAGAAACCAACTTATATGACGCATGGAGATGTCTTCACGCATCTGAGAAAGAATTAACTTACTACACGGCAACGCATAAATCTTACTCACGGATCGACTTCTTTCTAACGGATCTTCAACTCTTACAAAACATCTCCAAAGCAGAAATACATCCAATGACCTGGTCAGATCATGCGCCCATATCCTTAGCTATAGAAGAGACACTTACATTTTCCCCAGTTTTTTTTTATGGTGAATTGATACCTCTATGTTTTCTACACCTACCTTCCGCTCTAGCCTTTACAAGTCTCTACAGGAATTTTTCAACTTGAATGCTTCTTCGGACACTAGTGTATTTAATGTTTGGTGTGCTCACAAAGCTTACTGTAGGGGTATTTTGATTAAGCCATCTTCGCAAGAAAAGAAGCGAAGAAAAACGAGCATTGTCTGCTATTCTGGATAAAATTACTAGTTTGGAGTCTCAGCATAAACAATCCCTCTCGCCTAGCATTCTACAAGAGCTACTAACTAGTTGACAAGTTCTTAGAAAACTCTTAATAACCCAACATGAAAAAATACCTTAAACGATCTAAAGCCAATTATTACACACAAGGCTGGTAGAAAGCTTGCCAATTACCTTAATGCTAAACAATCTAAAACAGAAATCTCTTCTATGACAGATCCTATATCATATAAATTAATCTACCCCCTACCCTTATCCAATCAGACCAAGCGGGCTTTGTTAAGGGGAGACAGGCAGCAGATGGCACCCGTAGAATACTCCATTTGATGAGAATTACTGAACTTTGTAAATCCCAAACAGTGTTTCTGGCGGACGCCAAAAAGGCTTTTGATAGAGTCCACTAGAGATATCTTGACGCTACTCTAAGCAAATTTGGTATTCAGGTATATATTAAATCTGCCATTACAGCTCTATATATACAGTTCCTACACCACAGGTGTATACCTCTATTTTTTTATCAGACTCCTTTATAGTTACCAATGACACTAGACAAGGGTGTCCTCTTTCCCCTATCATTTTCTCTTTAGTGAAGGAACCCCTGGCGACTTCAATTAGAATTAATCCATTAATATTAGGCATACAGGTAGCACATAAGTCCCATAAAATTGGACTATTTTTATATGATGTCATACTTACCATTACTGATCCCTTAAATTCTTTATCAGAGATCTCATCTACTCTGGAAACTTTTAGTAAAGTTTCATACTATAAACTAAACGTAACAAAATCAAGTGCACTTCCGATAGGCATCAAAAAGGGTCCCCTACAATGCATTAAAGATAAGTTTCCTTATAGCTGGACCCTGAACAAACTAGTGTACTTGGGCATAAACATATCTGCTCCTTCCTCCAATACATTTGCTGACAATTATGGGAAATTGCTCCAGATAATCTTAACAGAGCTAGCAAAAATTGAAAAATTCGAACTATCCTAGCTGGGTAGAATTGCGGCCTTCAAAATGCTGATCTAACCCAAAGTTCTATACTATTTCCGAACTATTCTGATCCTAGTTCCCTATAGCTTTTTCCTAAAGTTAGACACAGCTGTAAAAAAATACATACGGAAAGGGAAAAAAATCTCAAATCCCATTCTCAGCGCTTACTAAACATAAGTCCAAGGGAGGTGTAGGGTTGCCAGTTATTTCAACTTCAACTATGCTGCCCTCCTAGATCAACTTCAAGCATGGCTAGTCCCTTCTGATAAATTATGGGTCCAAATAGAACAGGCCATGGTCCCTAACCAAGACCTCCAAGCTTTATTAATCACGGAAACCGTTTCACCTAATAAAATGAAAACCTACCTCCACTCCATCGCTGCCACTATAGAAGCATGGTCTGTGGGACTAAGTAAGTTTAATTTCTCCACACTTAAGCTTAGAGTGGACATATCACTAACAACTTATGAACATTTCATATCCAACCTTAATACCAAACCACTAAGAGATGCAGGATTCCACACATTTAATGAAATCCACCCCTCACAGTTGGGAAGAAACATCTACCCTTATATTCAGATTAAAAATGATCATGTATCAGACCCAAAGACATGGGTGGAGGTAGATTCTAAGATTTGGCATGCATTAGTGAACCTTCTTGGGTTGAAACAAGGTATATTGTGGTTTTATAAGTATTTACAGTTCGACAGCGATTTCTCTAAATTATTGCGTGGAGGGGTGAGAGAGGGGCCTTCAAAGATATTTTTACACAGGAGGAATGGCAATCTGCTATAAATAACAATATAAGCCTCACGAAACGTAAGAATCATTGGGACAACTCCCTTAAAATATTATATCGTAGTTATATCACTCTTTATAAACTATCCAAAATGTACACCAATGCATCACCCTTATGCTGGCGGCAATGTGGTAGTGTGGGTGACCTACTACATGTTCTTTGGGCATGCAAATTTATACAAAGTTTTGGAAGGCTGTTTTTGCTTTAATTTCTCAAGTGACTGGAGTAATTACAAGGCCAACTCCTCATTTGCAGCTAGGCTAATTATTACTAAATGCATGGAAATCTACTAAAACATTCAATATATCTGATGTCCTCAATAGTGTAAACCTCCATTATATCTACAAAAGGTCCTTTGCCATTTTGTCACATACTGTGAAGGTGTTCAATGCCAGATGATTGTGCTGGAATAGTATATTTAAAATTTCAGACATATAAGAGCCGATTTAGTTAAGGAATTACCAATTGGTTATGGGGCATAATGTTAGAGTTAACCTGACTTTGAACCTTAGCTCTGTTATTTTCTCTCCTTCTCTTTTCTATCTCTTTCCTCTGCTGATTCTATAATGTATGCACTTCTAAGTCTATCCTCTACCAATGCTGATGAGTAGGCGGATTAATGTATTGTGTATGATAGGTATGTCTTATTTGGACAAATTCTTCATTGGGTATGCTTCATTGTATACATTTCCAAGTTTGACCTGTACACTATTTATTTACAAAAAGTTCAGCTTTGATGGATTTTAAAAGACATACAATTGTATTACAACATTTTATAATTGTTTTCTTTACTTGTATTTGCCTTTTAAAAATTTAAATAAAAAGAATTGAAAGAAATTTTAGGTAAAAAATGTAAAAGACAAAAATGAAATGGATAAATAAAATAACATTACCGCCAAAAAAAAACCAAAAAAATGACTAGGCCCAGGATAGAGCAGAAAATGCACAGGCTGTGAGCTCTGCTGTGTATAAGCAGAGAAAGTTTAGCTGACAAGCTTCCCTCCCTCTGTATTCCTAATGGGGATGCACTGTCCAGCCATGCACCTAGTCTAAGCAGCAGGGACAGTCCAGATTTCAATCAGTGTATGGGTTTCCACACTCAACAGAAGTCGATTGTTTCATTGATTTCTGTTGAATGGATATGTTGTAAAATCTGCCACTGATCAGCAGCTGCAGCCAATCGCATCAATCATCATTGTATATACTGACAGCGGTGTGTGCACCCTTGTCAAAATACAATGTCCTGGTGGGGAAGAAGGGGTGGGGAATGCCACCATTTACCGCCTTTGTGGTGGGAATGGAAGAACCTGTTTTTTAAAAAATAAAAGAATGGTGTATGGTTGGCTTCAGACAGCATGTAGAAAGACAGAACAAGGTACTACATGCACTTTGTCCCCTTGGGGACAGGAGACATGCAAAAAAGCAAAAGGGAGACTTCTTTAAGTGATGACTATGCCATGCATGGAAAAAGGAGAAGATCACTTGAAAGATGTGTGGATGTTTTAAATGGAAACTATAAGGCTCCCTTCACATGGGGTGGATTCCGCTCCAAACAGCAGGGGATCTGTGAACTGATCCCCTACTGATCGGAGCAGAGCGGGGACAGGACAGATGTCACATCTGTTTCAGCTCAGTTTCTGCACACGGCTCCACTGTATTTACATCAGGCTACTTCCAATTCGGAAGGGGGTCGACCAAAAAAGGAAAAGGATGCGGTCATTTGCATTTTTAGTGGACATGATTGGACCCAGAGGCAGGCAAATGTAAAAGGACACAAGTACATTTACACCCACCTGTCCACAGGGCTCTATGGACCTTCTGATCAGGTACACATCAGGTAGATAAATAAAGGTGCAGCACTAAAACACTAATGACCATCAAAAGTATATGCAGTGCAAAACCAGTGCTAATGATGAACCATTCATAAATAAAATATTTAAAATGGATTGCTATTATGCTATTAAAACCAATAGTGATAAAGTGACGATAATAAATAACTGTCAGTTTCCACACAAATGTTCAAACAATGTCTATGAAAGTGACAAAGTGCAAAATAAGTGCTAATGCAATAAAGTGCTAATAATGAATCATTTATGAAACATCAATATAAAGACATTGTTTGATCATTAGTATGGAAACTGACAGTTATTTATTATTGTCACTTCATCACTATTGGTTTTAATAGCATAATAGCAATCCATTTTAAATATTTTATTTATGAATGGTTCATCATTAGCACTGGTTTTGCACTGCATATACTTTTGATGGTCATTAGTGTTTTAGTGCTACACCGTTATTTATTTTACTGGTTTGGAGGTTTTTTTGGTTGCCTTTTGGTGCTTTAGGAGCTCATGTTTTAGTGCTTGCTTGTCTGCCTTTATTCACACGTCAGGTAGACCTGATCGGAATGGCTGTGTGAAGGGACCTAACAGCTTTGGGCCAGCTTCATTATTTTCAGTTTTCAAATGAAGTTTTATATTTTTTGTTTACAATTTACATAAAATTTATTTTGCAAATAAAACACTAAATACAGGGTGCACTAATAACATAGGATTTCACAGGACATTATGGGTTTACTAAGGAAGAAGCACTGCATAAGCATTCTGTCCATTTCCTCCCATCTTTGGAAGAACCCAAATTGAAAAGCCAGGAAGTGGGAAGGAGTCACTGTCTTAACTCACTTACATGTGTTAATGTCAGCTAGAACTACTAGGGATTAAGATGGACAGGTAAACATGTGAAAAGACCTGAGCTATATCTACTAATTACATATGCATATTAAAGGGGTCCATTTCTGAAGCAGCAGCATAGAAAACGCTCTTTAGAACACATCAGCATCCTACACAGCGTGGAGTAAAAACAGTGCAGTGTTTTATGGAGAGCAAATAGCAATATCTGCTATCCATTATAAATAGAACCCCAAATTATTTATATTCAACATTTCATGGAAAACATTTTTTTTCTCTGTTTTTCTTGGACCATAATAAATACAAAAGGAATATCACTACGAATTCCCTTTAAAAACAGACCACTGACTGATAACTCAGTATAGACATTCTCTGCCCTACTACAGTGAGAGAGAAGCTCTCAATGTCAGGTCTTGGCTACAGTGTTAGGAACAGCATTTACAGGAAAAAAGTACTTACCGATCGAATGGCAGCTCTTGAGCAATTAAATGCAACTTCTGAATGATATCAGCTGCCTCTTTGATCTGCCAATAGAATATATATAAAAAAAATATATATGTTGAATACATTTCTCTGCATTCAGAAAACTGGATCGGATGTGTGCATTGCCTATATGTGGTGGACTAGTGGTTGGGGCATCATGTCACTTCTGCTGGAGCATGGACTAATAGTGGAAGTCTACTCTGTGGATATCAATAACTACTTAAAATATATTGTAGCCATTCACTTTATACCATTGCAGATTCTATTGCTTTATCTGCCTCCTTTCTGCCTCCAAGTACCAAAGTCTGACCACATGCTACAACCACTACAAGCATGTCTTGTTCTTTATTTGATATTACCAAAAGTACAGTGCCAGAACCATGGGTGCCAGTAAGACATTCAGAATAATATCATTAATTACTGTAATGCAACCCAGCCTACATTAGAGTGGCAACTCTGCTCTGAATTCAGGAGCAGTGCAGCATCATTGCCATACAATCACAGGAAGATGCATTAGGTGAACCTCACTAACAGGCACAAACAGGTGTTTGAGGAACTTTGTAGGGGGTGTGAAGAGAAAACCAAGTGCAAATGTACATATAAATTTAAGTGCTGCTCCAATTTTTTTTTATTTTTTAATGGGAGGCCATAGTTCTACTTAAAGCGAAACTTCACTCTTAATCAACATTGACTATTTGTAATCCTTATGCTGCTAATATTAGTAAAACAGATAGGAAACTATACAGTATTCAAGCTTTTGTTTTTACATTTCTCCAGTTACTTCCTGGCTTTCAGGCCTAGGCAAATAATGTCATACATCCAGGAGTCTTTAGGAGGAAAGAAGGGGGCTTTTTCAGCTAAGCACATCCTCCTGCCTGAGCTACGGGTAGATGGCTTCCAGATTGCAGGAAGTAAATTAATCTGCCCTTACTTAAGATGGCCACAGCCAACACCCTCCCAAGCAGAGGGTGTTTTTCGAAGTAATTTCTCAACAAAATAAGGTATGGAGACATCAATTGAATGGTGCAGTTTGCTTTAAATATTAAAAATGAATTAAATAGTGTTTTTTGGTTTGTGCTGCTCAGATGCAGTGTAGTTCTGTTTTAAGGCCCAATGTACACTTCATTATTAATTATTACTATACGGTACAAACAGTTTACACAGCACTTTACAATATAAAGGGAGACAGTACAGATACAACACAAGGTTAGGAGGGCCCAGAAAAATTGTAAGAGGTTACAATCTAATAGGGTGAGGCATGTGGTACAAAAGGTAATAAATGTGACGAAAGAGCTGCTGAAAGAATGAAATGTTCAACTGTTAGCTAGAGGTGGGATAGGCTTCTCTGAAGAGATGAGTTTTCTGGGGATCACCTAAAGATGGAAAGAGTAGGACATAGCTGGACAGATTGAGGTAGAGATTTCCAGAAGAAGGGCAGAGGCTCTGGAGAAGTCCTAAAGGCAAGCATGGGAGGAGCAGACAAGGGAGCTTTGGAACAGGAGGTCTTGGGAGAACCGGAGGGTGCAGTTTAGGTGTTATTTGGAGACAAGTTTGGTGATTTAGTTTGGGGTAGAGTTGTGAATGTCTTTGTAAGTGGTTGTTAGTGTTTTGAATTTAATTCATTGGGGAATCAGTAGCCAGTGGAGGGATTGGCAGAAGAAAGGAGGGGTGGACATGAAGCACAATTCATGATAGACTGAAGGGGAATAGCCCGTGTACAAGCAAGCCTATGAGAAAGGAGTTGCTATAGAAAAGACAAGAGATAAAAAGGGAGTTATTGATAAAGTCGTAATGACGAAACGCGTCAGGAGGTCAAATCAGATGATTACTATGTGATGTTTGCCCATTCTGTTTTGATTTACATACCGGAATTGTACTGGGAATGACAAGAGCGATGTTGGTCTGAAAGGAGTCTATCTGCTCAAGGCTTTTTTTCTATACAGTCTGGTAAGGTGCATGGACTGCGAGGTGGCGGATGACTTTATTGTTTTACCCACACCGGTGGTCACTTGTTTGGAATAAGGGGAGCACAGAGTGGCACTATACGAATTTTGTTAACAGTATTACACTATATAAATTTCAAAATCTCTTGGAGGGTACGATTATCCACGAGGAGGATTATTAGAAGAATAGTCCACGCATTGGAAATTCATGTATAAAGCAAGTGAACTATACTCAGAGGGTAAGAGTAGGAATTACAGATATCATATGCTGACACTTGGTGAAGTTTGTGGCGCATTTTGAGCACTTTTAGTGAGTGTAATTTATTATAGATAAATTTTTATGTGATTAAGAAAATGCAGTCTATATATAATTTTTTTTGAGGGTTAAAAGAGGATGATAACACTTGGAAGATCTGAAAATTGAGCACCTAGTGGGCTAGGATTTTATGAAATATCACCTGTGGTTATAAATTGAGGACGTTTATTGATTGGACGCTGAGGAACAATTTAAATTTTGGACTTCCTGGGCAGGAAGAGATATCTTGGCGACCAGAGGTTGTACACTATGGAAATGTGTTTATAGCGCATACACATTGTATTTATGGTTTAATAGCATTCACGGATAATTTTGTTTTGTATTTACACAGTTATTGAGTAGCTTCGTAGTTAAATTTTTTAAAAAGGGGCGTATTTTAGAGAGGTTATAGAGGTGAAGTCTACAAGCTTTTCACAGCGATTGGATTTGGGGCTGAATGGACAGGTCAGAGTTTAGGATTAGTTGTTAATTAATTGTATTATTGATCTTGATGGCATTGTCAGGGAAGAGGCCACAAAGCATGAGGTCAGCTTTAGAAAGATTTCGTTTGAGAAAGTGGTGTAAAATCCATGCTGATGTGTCAGTTAGTTAGTCATGCAGGAGGAGATTGGAGGAGTAAGTTGAGGTGTAGGAAGATAGACTTGGGTGTCATCAACACACAGATAGTATTTGAAGTTGTGAGAGGGTATTAAAAGACCAAGAGAGGAAGTGTAGATCGAGAAGAGTTCCAAGGACAAAGCCTTGTGGGACCCCTACCGAAAGGGGAAACGTCGAGGAGGAGATGGAGTTGTAGGCTACACTGCAACGATCATTGTGATAGACAGGGGAAGACCAGCAGAGTCTTGAAGACCAAGGGAGTGGAATCTATAGAGGAGAAGGGGGTGTTTAACAGTATGAAAAGGCCGCAGAAAGGTCTAGCAGTAAGAATATGGAGTAGTAACCATTGGTTTTAGCCGATAGTAAATAGTTAGTGAGTTTTAGGAGGACAGTTTCTGTGGAGTTCTGTGAGCAAAAGCCTGTAAAGGGTCAAGAAGGTTGTTGTCAGTGAGGTAGAACAATTAGAGACTACGCATTCTAAACGTTTAGCAGTAAATGGGAGGAAGGAGATGGGTCTTAAAGCGGTGCTCCACCCAAAAGGGGAAGTTCTGCTTTAAGCCTTTGTCCTCCGTTAAGGATTGACACCTTTGGGGAGCAGGTACCCAAATTTGACAGGTACCCGCTTCCACTTCTGATACCATAGCCTAAGGCAGGTCTCAGAAGTCTACAGCACCATTCGCAAAGTGCAGTGCTACTCGCACATCTGCAGTGGGCACCCAGCTGTGAAGCCACAAGCTGCCACAGTCGAGTGCCCACACTGAAGATACCGGTGCTGGGGAGAGAAGACGGCCGGGTGAAACCAGCCGTGGCAAGGACACTGCTGGACCGAGCAATGGGTAAGTGTCTGTACTTTAAAAGTCAGCAGCTACAGTTTTTGTAGCTGATGACTTATCTTTTTTTATTCAACTGGAACTCTGCTTTAAGTTGTTCAAGCGGGTGGGTTCATTGAGGGCTTTTTAAGTACATGGATGATCTGTGCATGCTTTAAAGGGAAAGGGAAGGTGCCAGTAAAGAGGGACCGATTGAAGATGTGAGAGAGAGCACATAGGATAGAGGAAGAGGGCAATTGTAGCAGTTGTGAGAGGTGGGTGGGTGTCTGAGAAAAGTTTGGAAACCTTTTCTGTAGTTGCAAAAGAGGAAGTTACTGAACATGCTGTTAGAGTATATTAAGAAGGTAAGATAGCTGTAATTCAGATTTTTTTCAATGCCAAACTACACAGAAACTCATTATTTTTAATTGTCCCTGTTCACACTTGTACACTCAGGTCATCCTCTGCTCTACACTCAAAGTACATACACATAAAAAAAAAAAAAAAAGCACACAAGCTTGTTTTGAGGGTATTTTTGGCCCCATAGACTTCAACATCAGCATCTGTAAACGCACAACATGCACGGTTTCACACCTAAAGGACGCTTCTCCGCTACAGCCCAGGAAACAAACTCCTGAAACTTGATACATGTGCAAAAACATCCATAAACCAATGACTCCTATCTAAAAGCACTCACTGATTGATCTGCGATTCCAACATGTATCCTATTTTCCTTTCTGACATCTGCTGTGACCACCACTACCCCATACAGACTCATACTGTTCCTAATATTAATGCAGATATTGCAATTTCAGAGCTCAGAAAGTGTTATCCTCTCCATTATGTGATCATTGTGTGAGACTGTTGATTGCCTGCTAAACTCAAGCAGTATCTTGGAAGTGGTTATAGCTGCCTCAAAGTCAAAAGAAATGCGGGCAGCACAGTGGCTAAATGACTAGCACTTCCACCTGGTAGTACTAGGGTCGTTGGTTCGAATCCCAGCCACCGCACCTCCTGCCTGGAGTTTGCATGTTCTCCCTTTGCCTACGTGGGTTTCTTCCAGGTACTCCGGTTTCCTCCCACACGTCAAAGACATGCTGGTAGGTTAACTGGATCCTGTCTAAATTGGCCCTTATATATGAATGTGAGTTAGGGACCTTAGATTGTACGCCCCTTGAGGGTTAAGGACTGATGTGAATGTACAATATATATGTAAAGCGCGGCGTAAATTGACAGTGCTATATAAGTACCTGAAATAAATAAATGGGTATTTTGCAGTGGTGGCCACAGAAGGAGGCTTGGCTAAAGAAGAGAGTATAAAAAAAGGTGGTAAGAGGGTGGGTTTTACATAGACATGGTCAGTTTGCCCAAGCAGGAAAAGTGACATAGTCTCTAAGAGATTTTACTACCGACCACTTAAACTTGGTCAACTCTCTTACTAAGCCCTTTCTCCCTTGAATGCTCAGTTTGCCTGTGCGACCAACTCTTGGAAGAGTCCTGGTTGTACCAAACTTCATGTAAAAATTATGGAGGCCACTGTGCTCTTTGGAACCTTCAGCCCAACAGAAATTGTTTATAGCCTTCCCCAGATCTGTGCCTTGCAAAAATCCTGTCTATGAGCTCTGTTGGCAGTGCTTTTGACCTCATGGCTTTTGCTCTGAAACAGTATGCACTGTCAGAGGTATGTGCCTTTCCAAATCATGTCCAATCATTTTAATTTACCACAGGTGGAATCCATTCAAGATGTAGAAACATCTCAGCAACGATCAAGAGAAATGGGAGGAACCTGAGCTAAATTGCAAGTGTTGCAAAGGGTCTGAATACTTATGCCAATGTGATATTTAGTTTTTATCTTTTTCATACATTTGCAAACATTTCTAAATTTCTGACTGTACGGAGTGTAGATTAATGAGAAAAAAAAATGAATTTAAACGACTGTATTATCAGGCTGCAACATAACAAAATATGAAAAAAGTGAAGGGGGGTCTGAATACTTTATGAATGCACTGTATAAACATTAATCTAATAGGTGTCCTAGCTAGGCCATCATCAACTCTATATAAATTGCATCAACCTGGCGAATGGCAAAATGATAATATGCTTTCAACGCATTTCACAGACACCTTAGTTGTTGCAGCACCGATCAGAAAACAATGCGAGTCCATAGTATAAATGTTTCCTAGTTCATTGGTCTATATTATATCTAGTGATCTGTACTGGGATGCAGGTTAAGGTAAGGCAGCCATGTGCCTGGATTACAGGGGTATCAGTAAGATGGTGTGCTATTAGTCTATTTATTTATATGGCTCTGTTTTAATGGGGATCTCTTCAAAACAGTTCTAATAATATATTTGCTTTATATTATGTAAATGTTTACAGTGCTTAACATTGGGACATGATCCTCATAGAAATGCTTACTGTTCCCTCCTGAGGAAGCAGACCAAGTTGTCCATACAAGTCAAGACTGTATTATCATCATGCCATTTGCCTGAATGATGAGACTCACACACACACTCACAAACAGTATACTGTATACACTATTGGAGTATACACCATTTTGTTATATTGATCATGTATCAGATAAACATTTTAGTGTAAAAAATTATTTTACAATAAAGTATCTTTTGAGTGCACACAGAAACAAGCATTTTAAAACATAAAAGTGAATCTGTGGCCCACGGTACTGAGAAATACTGTATAATACAACATCCAACCCTAGTCTACTTTCTTTGCAGGATGCCCTGGAACAGATTCCCTGGTGAGGAGCCTAGTATTACAAGGTGATGGGACAGAAGTGAGATAAGGGTTCCATGAAAGTATGGGGCTAGGCTCCTGACCAGGAAAACTGGTGATATTGTCTACCACAGCCTCCAGATTCTGGGGACCCTGGGTACTAGGAAACGTGATCGGGCGTGCAGGCCCCTAGGAGGTGGCTACTATCCTATGTCAAAATTAATTTCATATATTCAAAAATTTACATTAAAAAGATACATATAAGATTACGTATATTAGGTTGGCTATGATTACATATGGGACTTAAAAAAAAAAAAAAAAAAAGGGCTAAGGATTTCCCATAACCAGCTGCACATGAAAAAAACCAGAAGAGTTCTTTATTTGTATTACTGGAATTATTATTTATTGAACATCTTTAGTTTGTGAACAGAAATATAAAGAACGAAAGCCTCTTTCGGTTTTAACACGCAGAGCCATGAAGCCAAAAATCTTCTATAACATTAATGTGCCATATGGGCTTGTTGAATTAAACATAATACCAGCTAGACAGCAAATCAAACATAAAAAAAGACAAGTTAACAGCATTTTAAAGCATAAATAAATCTGTAAGCGCTCGGCGGGATAATAATATTGTAAACGCACACTTGTGAACAATTAAACTTTAACAAGTCAGTCTCTCAACGGCTGAAAGTGCGACTAGCACAAGGCAAAGCAATTAGGGCAACGCTGCTTGTCGCTTGCAATCACTTCACGCCCTGCTGGCAGCCCTTACCTTTTCAGGGTTGTTAAACACATCAGACTGCAGATTGCCATCCAGAAATTCATTAAAATAGGTCATCAGTTTTTGGGCCTCCACAGCTCGCTGCCTCGGAGTGTTCACCCCCTCCAACAGGTCACCAAGATGACACACCTTCGTGGCCACATAGCTGATGTGCTCATCCAGTTCTTGAAAGTGCTGAAATGCTATCTGGAAAGACACAGATAATACCATCAGATTATCCTGCTGTGAAAATAATAAATAAAATAGAGTAACAATAAAAGACTTTTTAATATTGCAGCTGGGCTAAAGTCCACTTAGTTTACTTTTACTGTCTGCATGAACAATTCCTGACACGTCACAATAGAATACAGTATCATTGTTCAGAAAAGCTCAGGTGACTTTGCCTAGGGCCCTAGGCTGATATGATGTTATCAGCTTGCTGCAGGCCAGAGACATCATTTCCTTAGTCTCCTTTGCTTTTGTGTTTAAATTGCAACACTAGAATGCTGTAGAAAATCAAAAACCTGCAGCAGAGGTTCAGAGTATAGTAGTCATAAAAAAGAGGAAGACACCAAGAGGATGGATCATTATTTTTTAGTCAGCCTGCGTCTAAACCAAGGCTTTCCTGAAAAGCAATCTACATTCAGATGGATTTTAGATCCGCTTGACAGGCAGTGAGGAGGTGATGTGACGCCTACTCATAGCCTACTTTAACCCCATAATTATCACACACGTGGTTGGGAGACATTTGCAGCACTTCCTCAATTACTTGAATGGGTTGCGGTCATCTGGCTCACTGGTCAAATTTTTGCTGGGGGCGTGAAGTAAAGCATCACGACATCCCCGTCCACTGCCATTGCAGCTTAAGGGGGGGGAATTAGAAGAATGCAAGAAATGTGTTTCAAACACACATTTTTAATGCCCTCCCACAAGTCTAATTAACACTAGCAGTTGAGGAGCACTAAAACCCCGCAGCTGAGCCACACTTTTACTACCCCCCAACCACTACCTCCTTTAGCTGTAGAGGCAGTGCCAGGTGTGTACACATGCTGCAGCAGCAACAGGAATTATACCGTTACGCTCAAGTTAATGGAGCCTGCAAGCACCCCACAACTGCAGGATTCAAGATGTTAAAGAAGCCCATGAGGAGGTGATACAATACCTCTTCACTGTCTGTTAAAGGCTCTCTGAAGAAGGATCAGAATGAGCCCTAAATGAGCCCTCATGCAAAGTGTCTCCTAATCAATCCAAAATGTAATAGATGTCCGTTTTAGAGTTTCACATTTTTTCAAACTACCAACAGGGACTAAGAGGGACTGTCATCTGTTCCCAGCCCCACTCACACAGAATGGCCATTTGTGTTACATTACAATACTGCAGCAGGAGAGCTGAAATAAAGTCAGAGACAGATCTGGGAACACCAGTATGGAGTATGCCTGGAATCCCCAAAAAGAAAGATCAATGGGTAATTCATTCTACTATAATCCATCTGTAAGTAAAGTGTTAGTACTTGAATGGATTGACCTTGCCTAAAAGGCAAAGTGCCTAAACCCACAGTAGCCAAGCAACAATTGTCTTTCCTTATTCTAAACTGACGATTAGCCAAAACTGATTCTATGAAGTGGGTTACTACACACTCGTTTTACTTTGAGATAGAGACATATATAGCTTTTCAGCAAACGCACATCAAGATGTAATGCATTTTGTAGCACTGTATCTCCTTTAACTATGTACTTCTAGAACTGCCTGTTACAACGATAGTAGAAGGGGAACTATATATTTAAGCATATCATAATTAAAGTATAACATTTACCCTGGACATACTGTAAATAAAGGAGGAATTGGCTGACAACCCAGTACACTTGCTTTTCCCCCGACAATACTACGGTAGTATACACGAGCCCACCCTGTTCTATAAAATCCTAATACACCAGGGGTTCAAATCAGCCTCTCAAAACCTCTCAGTAGTCCGTGTACACAATGTGAGTAAATGGCTATCATTTGTCCTGGCAGGTGTGAATCCTACCTGGAAAACTGGAAATGTGCATGGAGTCTAGAGTTTGTATTTTCTTCCTATGGTTACACAGGTGTTGCCTCAAAAAGAAGCGTTGAATGAACAATTGTGGTAGGAACACTATATTGTGAGCTCTTGCAAGGGAAGAAAACTGATGCGAATGGTTTTATGTGCTCAGTGCTTCTGCAGTAGGAAATAGACATGGAAGGAGGATGACTGCACAGCAGGGGATGCCCAACACAAACCATTCACTTTTGCATGGGCCCATTTATACCGCAATGCACTGTAATCCAAAGCATTTTTGTGGGTTGAGTTGTGTTATGTTAGGCAGAAGGTACAAAATTCAGAATACTACCTAGGAGATGAGAAACTAAGAAAAGACTACTTTTGTTTCTTATCTCTTAGATAGTATCCTCAATGTTGAACCTTCTGCTCCTGAAGAAGCAGAACCATGCAAAACATGTTGAGCTTTATAGTATCTGCTTCCCTTATGTCGCTCTGGCTGTACTAACACAGGAGGGCGTAGCACGCAATCTGACTCCTAACAGCTCTGCTTCTCCTCCTAGTAAGTTGTAATTGTCCCACAGCTGTCACATGATACATGGGGCCAATCACAGCACCCTGTACCATGTTACCAGCTCCTGCCAACCACAGATCACTATCTTGAGCTGTCAAGAAACCTAACTCATTCATGACAGTGCATGAATGAGTTAGGTTCATGACAGAAAGCTTTGCATTGCAGGAGAAATTATCACACACATTTTTTAAGTTTTTTTTTTTTTTTTTTAAACTACTTGCCAACTGCTTACCCGCACTTTGCAAGTGAGCAGCAGCTCTGGACAAAGTGACGTAATCTTGCGTCATTTCCTGTTTTGTGGTGTGAACGCGCCTGCACCCCCCGCGGTTGGTTCAGGGAGAGATCAATAGAATGATCATGAACAGAACTATACTAGTGCCTAGTATAGTGTCCCCAAAAATGCAGTGTTAGCAGGATCAGCCCCGATGCTGCCAGCACTAGTGTTTAGCCCTTCCAGTATTTTTCACAGAAGATTTGTACCAATTGATTGTGGGCCAAAGCAATTTATATGCACAATAATACATCGCCGTCCACCCAAATTCAGCTTGTGCCAGACAATTCGCATGGAAACCTATCACGGTTTCTGAATTTAAAACTTTTTTGGGCCTAACCCTCAATATGGACATTACAAAAAAGAATGATTGCATTCATATTGATCCACAGAGCCAATGTATCATATGTCAGTGTTCTCTGCTGTTACATATATACCCAACTACTACTGGTACGTTTTTACAAGCAGCGGGCAGGGACATCCCGCCCAGCCCCACCCCTCCTGCTGCCTTCCACAGTCTTCTTTGGCTCTCCGGCCCCATAAGGGAATCCAAGAATGCAGCCATTAGATCCGCTGGCTGACCATAGAGCTGATCAGAGACCAGAATGGCTCCAATCATCTCTATAGTCTAAGAAATACGAAGCTACGAGCATTTAATCACTTCAGTTTCGCAGGATATAAACAACGCCATTAGTAAATTGGGAAAGCAGTCAGAGGGGATATTTACAATCCCTGTGATAGCAATAAAAGTGATTAAAAAAAAAAAAAAGCACCCTTGTTCCCCTGTATGCGCGCAAGCGTTGACCCCATGCAGGTATGTAAACTGCGGTTGCACCATGTATGTGAAGTATAGCCATGAATGTCACATTGAGGGCAGTAATTCTAGCACTAGACCGCCTGTGTAAATATAAGTTGGTGACCTGTAAAGGCTTTTAAGATGTCGCCTATCGATAATAAAAATGTATGTACTTTGTTGCCATTGCACGGGCATGCGCAGTTTTAAAGCATGTCATGCTTGGTATCTATTTACTCGGCGTAACTTCTTTTATACTTTATCAAACAATTGGGCAATATATTGTGTTTTTGTGCATTAAGATTCTAAAAAGTGTATTTTTCCCAAAAGATTTGCATTTGAAAAAATCTGCGCAAATACTGTGTGACATAAAAAACCGTTTTATGCTTTAGGGCTTCTGCTTTAAAAAAAATATATGTTTGGGGGTTCTAAGTAATTTTCAAGCAAAAAAAAAAAACAGTTTTTTCCTGTGAACAAAAAGTGTCATAAAAGGCTTGGTCTTCAAGAGTGGGTGATGTGTGGCATAAGCTTCTAATGTTGGCTCTGCAATGCCAGGATAGTAGAAGCCCCCCCCCCCCTCCAAATGACCCCTTTGTGGAAAGTGGACACTCCAAGGTAATTGCTAAGAGGCATGGTGAGTATTTTGTGGATCTCATTTGATACATGTTTTTGGAAAACGAAGAAAGAAAACAAAAATGTATTTTTTCTTTTTCAATACCCTGTGACAAAAATGATATCTGCAAAATACTCACCATGCCTCTTATCAAATTCCTTGGGGTGTCTACTTTCCAAAAAGGGGTCATTTGGGGGGGCGTTTGTACTATCCTGGCATTTTAGGGCCTTCGAAACTGTGATAGGTAGTGGGGAAGTGACATGAGGAAATATGCCCTTTGAAAGCCTGGAGGTGGTCATTGGATTTTAGGGGCTTGTATGTAGCTAGGCTGCCAAAAAGTCTCTCACATGTGGTATCCCCATATTCGGGAGAAGTAGAAGAATGTGTTATGGGGTGTTATTCCACATATACCCATGGCATGCATGAGCAATATATCATTAAAGTGACACATTTGTGTAAAAAAATAAAATAAATAAAATTGTCATTTTCAAAACATTTGTGGAAAAAAATAAAAGTATAAGTATATACTTTCCAAAAAGGGGTAATTTTGGGGGGGGGGGGGGTTACTGCCCTGGCATTTTAGCACCTGAAGAAATGTGATAGGCAGTCAGAAAGTAGAAGCTGTGTAAATTCCAATACATATACTATAGTTTGTAGACGCTATAGCCTTCACACAAACCAATCAATATACATGTATAGAGATATTTTTTTTCCCAAAGAAATGTAGCAGAATACATTTTGGCCTAAATTTAAGACTAACTTTGAGTTTATTGGATATTTTTAATAACCAAAAATGGAAAATATTGTTTTTTCCCCAAAATTTTCGATCGTTTTTTGGTTATAGCACAAAAAGTTAAAACCGCAGAGGTGATCAAATACCACCAAAAGAAAGCTCTATTTGTGTGAAAAAAAGGAAAAAAAATAAACAGCAAAAAATGG